AGAAGCGGAAATGTTAAATTTTTGCCGATGTTCAAGAGTAAACAAACGACCTCACACATCTAATACTCGTCAGCTGGTGGGTTTAATATACATTCATAAATGTGGTGATGATATTTATACAATTATTACAATATTGCATAACAGTAAATCTTCTATTTTTTGGCGTGAATAAAAATTCATTATGTGAATAAAAAATCAAAGTGGAATTTATTTGTAAAGCCTCAAAACGTAACTAATGAACAGAGGAAATGTTAGTTTAGTGCCAGGAACACCTACATTGTTTATTCTGGATCCTATTTTGAAATTGGAATATTTTGAACTTTGTGTTAAATTTGGCCAAATTAACCAATTTCTGGTCACTTTATTTTGTAGTTGAAACAGTTAACTTGGCGATTTCTTGTGCTCAATCGATAGAATAGAAGTAATCCTAGTGAAATAGCTTAGAATTTGGTCGACTGGAATAATGTAATTGGCCTAAAATGGGAGTCAAAGTCGGCAAAATCGCCGATTCGTAAATATCGCTGACACATCAAAATTCACGAGAGCATAATTTCATCAATTTCCCATCAAATTTCGTACTTTTTGTTTTATTACATTCACAAAAAGATTCTCTACCATTTCATAAGAAAAAAATAAAAAATTTTTTTTTTTAAATTCTTGGACACTGGGGCACCACTTCAGATTTTGGCCTTGGACCCTGAAAGGGTTAAACAAGATGGGTCCTACACAGATGACAGCAAGGAAATGAGTGAGCTACTCAAGTCCCAATATGACTCAGTTTTTAGCAAGCCACTAACCAGACAGAGTCGAAGATCAAAATGAATTTTTTATGAGAGAGCCACAGAATTTGGTTAACACAAGCCTATCTGATGTTATCCTGACGCCAAATGACTTCGAACAGGCGATAAATGACATGCCCATGCACTCTGCCCCAGGGCCAGACTCGTGGAACTCCGTGTTCATCAAGAACTGCAAGAAGCCCCTATCACGAGCCTTTACCATCCTATGGAGAGGGAGCATGGACACGGGGGTCGTCCCACAGTTACTAAAAACAACAGACATAGCCCCACTCCACAAAGGGGGCAGTAAAGCAACAGCAAAGAACTACAGACCAATAGCACTAACATCCCATATCATAAAAATCTTTGAAAGGGTCCTAAGAAGCAAGATCACCACCCATCTAGAAACCCATCAGTTACACAAACCCAGGGCAACATGGGTTTAGAACAGGTCGCTCCTGTCTGTCTCAACTATTGGATCACTACGACAAGGTCCTAGATGCACTAGAAGACAAAAAGAATGCAGATGTAATATATACAGACTTTGCAAAAGCCTTCGACAAGTGTGACCATGGCATAATAGCGCACAAAATGCGTGCTAAAGGAATAACAGGAAAAGTCGGTCAATGGATCTATAATTTCCTCACTAACAGAACACAGAGTAGTAGTAGTCAACAGAGTAAAGTCCGAGGCAGGCACGGTGAAAAGCTCTGTTCCACAAGGCACAGTACTCTCTCCCATCTTGTTCCTCATCCTCATATCTGACAGACAAGGATGTCAGCCACAGCACCGTGTCTTCCTTTGCAGATGACACCCGAATCTGCATGACTGTCTCCCATTGCAGACACTGCAAGGCTCCAGGCGGACATCAACCAAATCTTTCAGTGGGCTGCAGAAAACAATATGAAGTTCAACGATGAGAAATTTCAATTACTCAGATATGGTAAACACGAGGAAATTAAATCTTCATCAGAGTACAAAACAAATTCTGGCCACAAATAGAGCGAAACACCAACGTCAAAGATCTGGGAGTGATCATGTCGGAGGATCTCACCTTCAAGGACCATAACATTGTATCGATCGCATCTGCTAGAAAAATGACAGGATGGATAATGAAACCTTCAAACGAGGGATGCCAAGCCCATGATGACATCTTCAGGTCACTTGTTCTATCTAGGCTGGAATATTGCTGCACACTAACAGCACCTTTCAAGGCAGGGGAAATTGCTGACCTAGAAAATGTACAGAGAACCTTCACGGCGCAATAACAGAGATAAAAACACCTCAATTACTGGGAGCGCTTGAAGTTCCTAAACCTGTATTCCCTGGAACGCAGGCAGGAGAGATACATGATTATATACACCTGGAAAATCCTAGAGGGACAAGTACCAAACTTGCACACGAAAATCACTCACTACGAAAGCAAAAGACTTGGCAGACGATGCAACATCCCCCCAATGAAAAGCACTGGTGTCACTAGCACGTTAAGAGACCATACAATAAGTGTCAGGGGCCCGAGACTGTTCAACTGCCTCCCAGCATACATAAGGGGGATTACCAACAGACCCCTGGCAGTCTTCAAGCTGGCACTGGACAAGCACCTAAAGTCGGTTCCTGATCAGCCGGGCTGTGGCTCGTACGTTGGTTTGCGTGCAGCCAGCAGTAACAGCCTGGTTGATCAGGCTCTGATCCACCAGGAGGCCTGGTCACAGACCGGGCCGCGGGGGCGTTGACCCCCGGAACTCTCTCCAGGTAAACACACACTGCCAATCCCTAGGTACCTTCCCCTCTTTCATACATTAAACAAAATACCAACCACTCCAACACTATGTCCTCACCTGCTTTTAACATTTCTGTCATGATCCCATCAGTTCCTGCTGCTTTACCCCCAGTCATTCTATGTAATGCCTCATGCACCTCCCCCATACTCACATCCTGCTCTTCTTCACTCCTCAAAGATGTTATACCTCCCTGGCTAGTGCATGAAATTACCACCTCCCTTTCTTCATTGACATTTAAAAAGTTCCTCAAAGTATTCCTGCCATCTACCCTATACCTCCAGCTCCCCATCTACTGACTCCTCTACTGTTTTTAGCTGAAATCCATTCGTTCCCTAGGCTTTAACTTTTTTATCTCACTCCAAATTTTTTTCTTATTTTCATCAAAATTCTTGACAGTGTCTCTCCCACTATCATCTGCTCTCCTTTTGCACTCTCTCACCACTCTCTTCATCTTTCTTTTACTCTCCATATACTCTGCTCTTCCTATAACACTTCTGCTTTGTAAAAACTTCTCATAAGCTATCTTTTTCTCTTTTATCACACCCTTTACTTCATCATTCCACCAATCACTCATCTTACCTCCTGCCCCCACCCTCCTATAGACACAAACTTCTGCCCCACATTCTAATACTGCATTTTTAAAACTATTCCAACCCTCTTCAACTCCCCCCCACTACTCATACTTGCACCAGCTCACCTTTCTGCCAATAGTTGCTTATATCTCACCCTAACTTCCTCTTCCCTTAGTTTATACACTTTCACCTCTCTTTCTTTTGTTGTCATTTTCCTTTTGTCCCATCTACCTCTTACTCTAACTGTAGCTACAACTAAATGATCCGATGTATCAATTGGCCCTCTATAAACATGTACATCCTGGAGCCTACCCATCAACCTTTTATCCACCAATATGTAATCTAAAACTTTCATTATGTGCTATATCATACCTTGTATACTTATTTATCCTCTTTCATAAAATATGTATTATATATCTTTTTTGTATTTATTTATTTATTTAGTAGGTTGGTAGACAGCAACTGCCCAGGGAAGTACAGTGGAACCTCAGCTAATGAACTGCTCCAACCTCGACCAATTATGTAAGTGTATTTTTGTAAGTGCTTTTGTAAGTGTATTTTTGAGGATCTGAAATGAACTAATCTAATTTACATTATCCCTGATGGGAATAAATTAATTCGGTAACGGCACCTGAACAGCCGTCTGGAATGAAGAAAGTTCAATATTTGAGGTTCCACTGTATTATCATCCTGCCAAGGGAATGTGAAACAAAAACCTGTAATTGTTTTACATGATGGTAGGATTGCTGGTTTCTTTTTTCTGTCTGTCTCGTAAACATGCAAGATTTCAGGTACATCTTGCTATTTCTACTTACACTTAGGTCATACTACACTTGCATGTACAAGCATATATATGCACACCCCACTGGGTTTTCTTTTGTTTTCTTACTAGTTCTTGTTTATTTCCTCTGATCTCCATGGGGAAGTGGAACAGAATTTTTCCTCCACAAGCCATGCGTGTCGTAGGTGGCAACTAAAATGCCGGGAGCAAGGGACTAGTATCCCCTTCTCTTTTATACAGTACTTAAGTCACAAAGAGAAGCTTCTGTTTATCTTTTGGGCCACCCTGCCTCGGTGGGAAACGGCCAGTTTGTGGAAAGAAGAAGAAGATGCACATGAAAATATAAATTATTCCCTACTGATAATACAATACATATAAGAAATGTTGAAGGCTTGATCCTTCTGTCATTAACCCTTAAACTGTCCAAACATGATCTACGTTCACTCGCTTAGCGCTCCGAACGTAGATCTACGTTTGATTTTACACGCTTTCTTATGTAAAGAAAAATGTAGATCTACGTTCAGAGTGCTACACGAGTGAATGTAGATCTACGTTTGGACAGTTTAAGGTTTAATATCAAGACTATTGATGTAATAGTATAGTAGTTTAATATCACTAACGTATCCCATGACCATCCTGTTGTTAGTTGGGATAGTTCCACAGTGGGGGAGGCTTGATTCTCCTGCTCCAGTTATCCACAAGACACTATAGAGACTAAGGTATCTTGATTCTGGAAACGTTTTGCCAGCCAGTGGCTTCTTCATTCTAGTGTAGAGAAAGGTGTAAGGTGAAGAGGAGTGTGAGGTTATCAGTCCCTAAACCTGGAGTTTGTGTGTTTAATCCATGAATCCTAATAAATAGTTCTTTTCTTAAGATTGATGACTTGAGCACATCCAACTCCCCAGTTGATGGACTGAGACCTCACACTCCTTGTCTTCCATCTTTCTCTACACTGAACCAAAGAACCACTGGCTGCGAAACATTTCCAGAATCAAAGATACCCAAAACATGTGACAAGGTCCCAATTAATCAACTTGTGGGCTAATTAAAACCACTTCTACACAGAGACAAAGCAGTGTCAACTTGCCGGGTCAGGGAAAGGCCCAGCCTTCACAAACGAAACTGTTAGTTGGCCTGGATTGTCTGACGCATTCATTCTCACGAAAGTCATCCACACATTCCACCTCTGTAAAAGATCACGAACTCATCTTAATACTCGTCTCTGATAAACAAGACTAGGTTTAATGGACACATGGGAAATTTCCTCTGTTACTTATATAAAAGTCCTACTGTTATTGTCATGACCTGAGACTAGTCCAGACTACAACACTGTCTTAGAGGACCATCTTGTAAAATGGATAGTTATGTATTGTGGTAGCCGGGTATTGTGCATGCAGGGTATGTGGTACGCAGGTCATTGTGGAAAAGCTCTCTCACTCTAGCAAGTCACTATTGATTTTATAAAGTTTTATCTATTGAGTCAATTTTTTCTACTGATAAAGACAGTTGCAGAAACAAACTTGATCAAATCATTGTACCTGTGGAACAAGTTTTCTCAAGTTCCACAGGTGAAACATCTCAGAACTTCATTACAAAGGTGCCTTTTTCACAACTTACAGCCTTTGTCATCACTGCAAAGTGTTAGTAGTCTCTAGATGTGATTTTTGTATGTTGATTTGTACTGCCCAGCTTCCAGGACTTGAGTCTAGATGTTAGGTAAAGGGACACAAGTGCAACTAATGTGACATTTTATTGTGACAACGTTTCGCTCTCCAGGAGCTTTATCAAGCCGTTAAAGAAGTACATGGCTGATAACACCAGGAGAGTGGAAACTTGCCATAATAAAATGTCCACATTAGTTGCAACTTAGTCCATTGCCTAAAATATGTCGGAAATTCTACCAACATTAATACATCGAGTCTAGGTCACCATAACAGACCCACCTTCCAGGATCTGAAGTCCGGTCACCAATGGTCCAGACTACCGATTCCAGGTCACATAAAAAAACTTTAATCTGAACTTACCATGGCTTCAGTAGTGCTCGACTGTACTTGAGCTTAGCATTAGCCACGGTGGAGTGCAAAGGCGCCATGAAGCTCAATAGGAGATATGGGATGTCATCTAAATACGCACTTCAACCTTAAAGCCAGGTAAGTCCACAAACAACCTGTGTTGGCTAAAAATAAGTTAGATAAGTACATGAAAGGGTGTGAGAAAGAGCTGCCTTTCATAGGCAAGTAGTCCCACTACGTGTGGGCGCTTTTGAGAGGTTGAGGTGAACCTACCTGCCTAGCATGGGCCAGTAGGCCTACTGCAGTGGTCCTTCCTTCCTTATATTCTTAAAAATTAGTTAATGGTTAGTTAAGGTCAAGACACATGAGCAAGTTTTGATCATTTCTCAAGAAACATTTCAGTGTTGAGACACTGGTCACTAACAACTGGTCATTGCAGTCAGTGATACATTAATAAATGTTCCTTCTTTCAACACACCGGCCGTATCCCACCAAGGCAGGGTGGCCCAAAAAGAAAAACGAAAGTTTCTCTTTTAAATTTAGTAATTTATATGAGAGAAGGGGTTACTAGCCCCTTGCTCCCGGCATTTTAGGTCGCTCTTCAACCACACATGGCTTAACGTGAGGAAGAATTCCTGTTCATCTTCCCCATGGAGATAGAGAAATAAACAAGAACAATAACTAGAAAGAAACTATAAGAAAAAAACGCAGAGGTGTGTATATATATGCTTGTAGATGTATGTGTAATGTAACCTAAGTGCAAGTAGAAGTAGCAAGACGTACCTGAAATCTTGCACGTTTATGAGACAGACAAAAGACATAGGCAATCCTACCATCATGTAAAACAATTACAGGTTTTCGTTGTACACTAACTGTATTTATTATGTTCACTACAACCAGGGACTATCTGTTAAAATATTGTTAACTAAACTTCTATGAAAATTGTGGAAATAAATTAATCATTATCACTATTGTTATTATTATTATTCTTTATTATTGTTACTATTATTCTTTTAACACATTGGCCATTACCCACCAAAGTAGGGTGGCCCAAAAAAGAAGAAACACTTTCATTATCATTCACTTCATCACTGTCTTGCCCTCTGGATAACAATAACACTACATTCTTAAGCCTACCCCATACATCTTTGACCCTACTGCCGATACTCTCACTAGTCCATCTATCATCCAATAGCTGTTTATATCTTACTCCAACTCCCTCCTCCTTTAGTTTATAAACCTTCACTTCTCTTACTTGCTGCTCTATTTTCCTTGTACCCCATCTACCTTTAACTCTCACTGTAAGCTAACAACTACAAAGTGATTGAATACTGTGGCCCTCTAAAACATGTCATCCTGAAGTCTACCCAACAGTCTGTTATCTACCAATACGTGGTCCAACAAACTACTGTCATTTTGCCCTACATCATATCTTGTATACTTATTATTTTTTTTCTTACAATGTTCCCCTTGCACTATAACCAACCCCTTTCTAAACAAGTTCAATCAAACACTCCTCCATTATCATTACATCTGGCACCCCCCCAAACTTTACTACCACACCCTTTCTAAATGCTTCTCCTACTTTAAGCATTTAGATCCCCTACCACAATTACTCTCTCACTTGGCTCAAAAGTTCCTACACATTCGCTTAACATTTCCCAAAATCTCTCTCCTCTACACTTCTCTCTTCTCCAGGTGCATGCGCACTTATTAAGACCCAACTTTTCACATCTACCCTTATTTTAATCCACCTAATTCCTTGAATTATACATTATAGATGGTAGTACGCTCCCAGGTGATGCTGTCCTACAACCTATCTTTTCTTTCTTTCAACAAACTTGCCATATCCCACTGAGGCAGGGTGACCCAAAAAGAAAAACAAAAGCTTCTCTTTTTAACTTTAGTATTGTATATAGGAGAAGGGGTTACTAGCCCCTTGCTTCAGGCATTTTAGTCGCATTTTACGACACACAGCTTACGGAGGAAAAATTCTGTTCCACTTCCCCATGGAGATAAGAGGAAACAAACAAGAACTAGTAAAATAATAGAAGAAAACAGAGGGTATTTTTTTTTTTTTTTTATTATCACAACCGCCGATTCCCACCAAGGCAGGTGGCCCGAAAAAGAAAAACTTTCACCATCATTCACTCCATCACTGTCTTGCCAGAAGGGTGCTTTACACTACAGTTTTTAAACTGCCACAATAACACCCCCTCCTACAGAGTGCAGGAATGTACTTTCCCATCTCCAGACTCAAGTCCGGCCTGTCCGTTTTCCCTGAATCCCTTCATATATGTTACTTAGCTCACACTCCAACAGCACGTCAAGTATAAAAAACCATTTGTCCTGCATCACTCCTATCAAACCCGCTCACGCCAAAAAAAATAATAAATGGCTGCTGAATCCCAAGCCCCTCGCTCACAAAACCTCCGTTACCCCCTCCCTCCAATCCCTTCCTAGGCGACCCCAACCCCGCCTTCCTTCCACTACAGACTGATACACTCTTGAAGTGTCATTCTGTTTCGCGTCCATTCACTCTACATTCCGAACACACCTCAACAACCCCTTCCTCAGCCCTCTGACAACAGTTTAGGTAATCCCGCACCTCCTCCTAACCTTCCAACTACATTCTCTGCATTATATTCACACCACACATGTGTTGCCCTCAGACATGACATCTCCACTGCCATCCAGCCTTCTCCTCGCTGCAACATTCATCACCCACGCTTTCACACCCATATAAGAGCGTTGGTAAAAACTATACTCTCATAAAAACAGTCCCCTCTTTGCCTCCAGGGACAAAGTTCTTTGTCTCACACAGACTCCTAAGTGCACCAACTCACTCTTTTTCACCCTCATCAATTCTATGATTCACCTCATCTTTCCATAGACCCATCCGCTGACACGTCCCACTCCCAAAAATCTGATACGTTCACCTCCTCCATACTCTCTCCCTCCAATCTGATAATTCAATCTTTCATCACCTAATCTTTTTGTTATCCTCATAACCTTACTCTTTCCTGTATTCACCTTTAATTTCTCTTTTGCCCACTCTAACCAAATTCAACCACCATCTCTGCAACTTCTCTTCAGAATCTCCAAGAGCACAGTGGTCAAATCAGCAAAGAGCAGCTGTGACAACTCCCCACTTTGTGGTGTGATTCTTTATTCTTTTAACTCCACTCCTCTTGCCAACCATCGCATTTACTCTCTTACAACCCCATCTATAAATAAATAAAACAACCCACGGTGACATCACACATCCATGTCTAAGCTACTTTTACTGGGAAAAAATTCCCCTCTTTCTACATACTCTAACATGAGCCTCACTATCCTACGTAAAAACTCTTCACTGCCTTTCCAGTAACCTTACCTCCTACTCCATACACTTGCAACATCTGCCACATTGCCCCCCTATCCACCCTGTCATAACGCCGTCCAACCCATAAATGCCACAAAGACCTCTTATCCTTATCTACGATACTGTTACACTTATATGTTACACTGTAAACACCTGGTCCACACCCCCCCTTACCTTTCAAAGCCTCCTTGTTGATCTGCTATTCCTATTCTCCGGCTTACACTTTAATTCTTTCAATTATAACTCCACCATACACTTACCCAGGTACACTCAACAGAACTTATCCCTATAATTTTTGCAGCTCTCTTTATCCCCTTTGCCTTTTTATACAAAATGAACTATGCCACGCTCTCTGCCAATCCCTAGGTACCTTACCCTCTTCCATACAATTTATTAAAATAATTGCACAACCACTCCAAACTTAATATCCCCACCTGCTATTTAACATTTCAATCTTTATCCCTTCAATCCGGCGGCCCTTTGCCCCCTTTCATTTTACCCCTTGCCTCACGAACTTACCTCCACACTCACAACTGGCTCTTCCTCACTCCTACAAGATGACTATTCCTCCTTGCCCTATACACAAATCAACAGCTTCCCTATCTTCATCATATCATTTAACAATTCCTCAAAAATATTCCCTCCATCTTCCCAATACCTCTAACTCTCCAATTAATAACTCACCTCTCCTATTTTTAAATGACAAGATTCCATTTGTTCTCTAGGCTTTCTTAACTTGTTAATCTCACTCCAAAAACTTTTTCTTATTTTCAACAAAATTAGTTGATAACATCCACCCACATCTCTCAT